AACTCTGTGTCTAATACAGATCCAAATTGAATAAAAGGATTATGCCTGCTTCTCGAAAGGGCAGCAGCAACCCTCTTCTTGTGGGTATTGCATCCTGTCAACAGAAGTCAGAAAAGGAAGAATCTTTGAGAAGAATGTTAAGGAAGGCCAAGCAATAAGAAGAAAGTAAAGTATACTTAGTGATATTTGGGGAAAAGAGAGGAGAATAAAAAGGAAACATTAGTAGGCAAGTACCTGTTTTTATAGATTCTCCTTGGTTTTGGGAGTCACAAAGCATACATTACCATTTTTAATAGCCAGCTTACAATCACAGTTATGGACAAACACGTACATACAGGCACCTTAGCTGTTTCTCTATTTAAAAATATTACCATGGTTGGCCCTAATACATGGCAAGGTACCTATAGCCCTCCAGCTGTTGTTGGACTCCAACTCCCATCAGCCCAATCAGCATGGTCAATGGTCAGTGATGATGGAAATAGCACTCCAGCAACAGCTGGAGGGCAACAGGTTCCTCACTTTTGCCCCAACAGCTTTTAATTAAAAGTAGATATATTGTAAGCCAATGTTAACATCCTTGCATAATGCTTAACACATGGGAAGAGAAATTGTGTGAATTAGCCAACAAATTAATGTGGGGAGATTTCTAGATCATTTATAATAATCAAACTGTGGCAGCCAAATGTTTCATTTTTTACTGGCAGAGATGATTGTATCTGCCACCTCCCCTCATGTTTCCATGTCCCCTCAGAGGTTGTGTTGCCATTCCCAGTTTCTAAGGGCTTTAGTCATGAAGATATGATCAATATTGCAATTACTTCCATGGTGTCCTCGCCTGAGGCTGCTGAAATAAACCAGGTCCCTTTAAGAGAGAAAGGAACAATCAACAAGAAGGCGGGTCTAATCAGAATAAACAAGGCCAAAATTGTATTTAAGATTCAGTCTTAATCTAGTGCTTGCCTAAGTCACATACAGGCAAGCTTGTCTGGCTGCCAGCCCAGAGAGCATTTGGAGCTCTCCGTGGTGCTGCTGCTGCTGCTGCACTCCCAAAACCTGATTCCTGCTTGGTCACAGTCCCCTGGCCATGCCTTGCCCAAGTCCTTGCTTGAACAAGGCTTTGTAGCATCCTGTATTAGGCTCCATTGCAGCTGGGCTCACTAGCAGGGACAGCACAGAAAGTAGCCATTTATCCCACCAATAATCACCTTTACCAGACTCTTTATTCAAGACACATAATCAACAAAACCCAGCGGTTTTGACCCTCTGAGTTGTCATCCTACATATTCTTACTTGGAAATACACCTGCATAAACCATTCCAAAACTTTGCTTTTGAATACCCATGCCTATGATCAAGTTAACCAACTGCTATGGCCACAGCAGCTAGAAGAAATGCACTGTATAGTGTGGTAGTCTGTCCTCTTGATGCTACTGAATACTGGATGATCATGCAAAGAATAATTAGCCTATTCGGGTAATATCCTAGTTCTCAACTTATCCTTCCTCCATAGGAGCAGCCTGTCCTGACTACCATGCTATCCTGAAATTGCCAGACCGGCTATTATACCATATAGTGAGGCATATTAAGTGTTGTAAGCCGCCCCGAGGCTTCGGCGAATGGGGCGGCATAAAAATGTTTTAATAAATAAATAAATATTATAAGCCACCTAGGAAGGCCTCGGCAGTTATAAGTGGCCTATAAATATGTATATAAATAAATAAAATAAATAAATTTCAGTCTAGCATGAAGGATATCATTGTGACCTTCAAATTTTTGAGGGGTACTGCAAAAGCCACGAATTGTTCCACATGAAACTCCAGAAAGAATACTCATATCGGGGACAACTCTTCAACTGATGTGTACATTACCTCAAATTTTTGCAATGTGATTCTGTGCTATGCACAAAGAAACAGGAACACTGGAAGCTACCTTAGAATCAAACCACTGTCCACACAGCCCAGTAATGTTGATGCTGACTGACCACTACTTTCCAGGGAAGGATTAACTGGTTGCTCTACCGGGGTATTGAACCTGGGACCTTTCTGGATGCTAGTCTTTGCCAAGACAGGGTTCTGGCGATTGTTATCTGGTGCATCTCTATTCAGAAAGGGATTATGTTTTGAATGCAAAATATATTCTCATTGTCATTCAGGAACATGCCTTCTTACCTTCTGGTCAATATGCTTTTGCTATTGCTAGATAAATGTGGAGACATGAAGTAGGCAACATCTCAAGTGGCTCACTAGGCAGAAACTCACCAATATCTTATTGATACTTTCTTTTTCATTTAAGATGGCTATATGCTGCTTTTTAGAGAAAATGACGTTCAATGCAGTTTCCAAAACTTGATATAAACTCAACAGCAAAACAACAAATTTAGCAGCAAAATGTACCATGAATAAAAACCAGCTGTTGGCTTTGAAGAGCTGTTCAAAAGATTGGGTCATACAAAAGATTATAACAAAAGCCACAATAATAAAATAACAAGTCACAACCTGAGCAAACGGAAATTCAATACTCCCAACAAAGCAGTTTTAAGCAGGTCAAATAGCCATATTAGATGCATCACTCCACTTAATGGCAATGGGAAGTTGGGAATGGGGTCTCCATTCAGTATGGATCCAAGATAGGAGGATCCAAGATAGGAGGCCAAAATTGGTCAGGAGGAGCCAAGATAGGCAAGTCTGACAATCCACCATTATCAAAAGGAAAAAGAACAATATGCAATTAACTCTCCTGTCCTCAACATCAATCCGTATGAGTAAGCAACAGTGAGCGCCCTTTTGAAGGTCCTCTAGTCTGGAAGCTTGTGGTGTACTCATAGGAAGACAGGAAGATCACCTTAAAAGATATGGCACATTTACTGCTAGCGTCTGTAGGAAAGACTCACGATAAGCAAATTTAGACAGGAAGAAACATGTGATGTGGGCCAAAAGGAGGAGCTCCTCAAATCAAACGATCTGAAACTGAGCCAACTTAGAGCCCAATCCTATATATGCTTATTCAAAAAAGAAATCTCACTGAGTTCAATAGAACAAAGTAAGGCTATATTGTTATGGACTCAGTTCTACTGTCTTTCTGTTCCATGGGCTTTTAATACCATATTATATGGGTTGTGGATCACAATGAAAGAGACTGAGAAGTCCATCCAGTACATGATCCCTTTCACTTTGTTCCTTGTGAAAAGTTTGGTGTTTTGTGTAAGGGCAGCCACGGAGGGTCAGACCAATGGCTTATCAAGTCCAGCATTCTGTTCCCACAGTGATTGACCAGATGCCCATGGGAAGCCACATACACAACGTGAAAGGAAGAGCCTCGGCCACTGCCATTCTCTAGCAAGTGGCATTCAGAGGCATAATGCCTCTAAACAACCATCAGGACTAGTTGCCATTGTTTAAATATATGATATATGAGGTGATATTCTGTTTGTTAGTTGACCACACAACTTCAATGAGAACACACAAAACCTTGCACAAACATCCAGATCTGTGGGTGGAGGAAGGATTTGCTACCTTGGCTGCAATTCTTACCCTTTCTCTGTATCCCACAGCAAAATCTCTGTATTAGCATGGGGACCTGTGTATGTAGGCGCAGGCTGTATGTACCTTGCTATGCCTAAAGCTCCTTTGCAAACATCCCCCCCCCCTCCATATGCAACAGCAGTTCTCCATCACAGGCACACTGATACCGATGCAGAATTAACGTTACCTTGCATAGGTACAATCCTATGCATGTTTAGGTGGAAAAGGTCCTACAGATCCCAGCATTAACCAGCCAGTATGTTTAGGACTTTTCCCCATCTAAACATTCATGGGATTGCACTTTCACTGTGCAATCCTGTGCCTGAGTTGCATAAGTTTACTGCCAAAGAAGCGGGTGCAGACAGTAACCTTTAAAGACTGAGGAACAGATGATGTGCAGTAATTATGGTAGCAAAGCAAAAGCCACTTGCTCTGAAGAAATCTAGCCCACCCAAAATGCAGTCAGGCACGCTGGAAGTGAGAAGAACCCAAACAGCAACCATCCGTAGGACTAGCTAAAAGTTGTGTGTGTGTTTTCAAGTTCACCAAAACTCTTGTTCAGGTTGGCTGTTAAGCCACGGAAGGGGATGCAGGAGAGAAAAAGAAAAAAAAAAACAATGATGAGCACGCATGTTTGGAATACTAAAAGTGTAAAGATCTGAGTGTCTTTTTCACTTGAAATACAGAAAACTTTGTTCTTGTTTTTAAAACAGGTAAACAGGAAGCGCTTATAACTCACTGGCACAGTGGGGTGTGTACCTGTGTGTCTATGTGTGTGTGAGGGATTGATGAGAAGCACAGAGCCCGTCCCTCTCCTCATGAGCCGCTGTCGTTCCTGTCTGTGTCACGAGAGGTCTTCCAGGAAACATGGTCACCAGTGCTTAGCAACGAATGGAAAAGAAAGGATGCGGGGGGGGGGATGCTCCACCTATCCCTAAATCTCTCTCTCTCTCTCTCTCTCTCTCTCCAGTACAACAGATGCAGGTGAGGGAGGGGGGACTTTCACAACACGTTTTGAAGTAAGCAACTTAGTAGGGATTTCAAAGAATCGGGGCAGCTTGGGCTTTAGAGAGCGCAAAATAAGCTGGGATGAATCTCAGATGGAAACCAGTGAGCAAAACTCGAGACGCAGGGGCGGCTGCTCAGGGTCGGGTCCAAGGGGCTGTGCTCAGCGTCGTTCGAGCTTAAGCCCCTCTCATCGGAATGGGCGTGCCCAAGGGAGACTGACACCGCCGGAACCCCAAGGCGATTCATCCACCAGGCGTGGACGGGGCCACATCATTCCAAGTGCCCGTTAGCCGCCCAAAATTGGGGGGTGGGGGGTGCCCCGGAGCCAAAGGCCAGGGGGCTGTCAGTTGTGCGAGGGGCACAAGTAGTAGCTAAGAGCGAGCAGAGCCCTGCCTCGTTCCGAGCCACGAGGAAAACAGGAAAGGGGAAAGAGGGAGAGAAGAGAGAGGAAGAGCGCGAGAGAGACACTTACTTGTTTCCATGCCCTGAAGGTGGAGTTTTCAGCACAGCTACAAGTGAAGGCTCCCTTCCCACTGCTGGTCTCTCCCTTTTTTGGTCACCACCTGCAGGCTGTCTTTCTTTTCCTGCCTTTTCTCTCCCTCAGCCACTTTTCTCTTTCCAGTTACTCCCTAGCTGGAGGGAAAAATCAAAAGTGCAGTTACAACTACGGCTTGCTTCCAGCAAAGCCCACTCCGGGAAGAGACAGAGCGCAGCACCAGGGATTAAAAACAACTGCGCGCCTGCCTTGCTGGCGGCGGCGGCGGCGGCGGCGGCGCCCTTTCCTTTGGCCACGTGAGCCAAGAGCGGCCCCGCCCGGGCTCTGGGGACCAAGGCAGCCCTGGGCGACGGAGAGCCGGAGGAGGCGGCGGCGGCGGCGGCGGAGGCAACGGAGGGGGGCGGTCGCCCTGGCAGGGCGCGGCTCTGCTGGCCGGGGGCGGGGGGGGGAGGCGGCCTCCAGCGCCGTGTCCAGTGGCGGGGAGAGCAGCACCTGCGCTCCCTGCTCGACGAGCCCCGGGGGTGGCTGATGCAGACGAAGAGCAGGAGACGGGGCGAGCGAGTGCGCGGGGAGGACCGGCTGAGGACGGACCGGGGCCGTCGGCGGCGGGCATCTCCGGGAACAGGAGGCTGCAAGAAGGAGGGGTCATCTTGGGGGGGGGGGACCCGCACTTGAAGTGGGGTGAGGGAAACAGCTGCGCCGCGAAAGAAGCGACGGCTAAATAGACCCGAGGGGAATGTCGAGGCGTAAAGGCGCCTGCTGAGAGCGATCAGAGCAGCTCGGATGCTTTCCAGGGTGAGCCAAAGGAAGCAGAATGGGTCGCTCTTGTTTGGTCATAGTACTTTCAAGGTGAAGGCGGTATTGTGGATTAGGGTGTTCCCTACTTCCAAGCCCCCCCCCCCGCTTCTATAATGCTACACAAGTTCTCTCTTGATCACTGTAATTGCTCCAAACTTTCGCTGACTTTCCGATGGCTTCAGCATTCTCATCCACCACCTGCTCCTCATCTTGCCTCTCTCTCCCCCGAATGTGCCCCCTTCGCATTCTTCCGGTCTTTGTGGACACAGAGTTTAAGGCAGCACTTTTATCTTCACAACAACCCTGTGAGGAAGAGAGTGGCCTGAGATTACCCAGTGCACTTCATGGCTGAATGGGGCATGGAAATTGGGTCTACTCAGACTTAGACCCACACTCAGACTTCAGTGTTGGAGGTGGAAATGTAGGGGCTACACTGAACCAGGCCTCGGGCCCAGCTGATCCAGAGTTGTGTTCATACAGTGGCCAACAGCTCCCCAAGGGACACTCACAAATGGGGCATGAGTGCAACATCACCACCCTTCCAGGTGAGTTGGGAGGGGGGGTGTGGAACAGATGGTGGACTGCAATTCCCATCACTCCTAGGCAGCATAGCTAAGGGTGAGGGAGGCTGGGAGTTGTTAAACATCTGGAGGGCCATGCATTCCCCAGTCTGAATGTAGAGAGAGTTTTCCATCAGTCATGGACAGCCTTTCCCCCAACTGTTGTTGTTCAGCTGTACAGTCATGTCTTACTATAGGCGATCCTATGGGCCAGTTCTCGCCACACTTTCCGATCCCGTGCCACCTCTTTCAGCTGAACTATGCTCTGACTGTCACCCTCTATGATGGAGTCTAACCACCTTGCTCTTTGGCAACCTGGTTTTCTCTTGCCGCTGAGCATCCCAAGCATTATATCTTTTTCTAATGAGCTTGATTGCATAATGTGGCCAAAATATGTGAGCCTCAGCTTTGCTGCCAACCAGGGATGCATCTAGTTTAATAAGCTCTTTCTCCTGCTTGTTTGTCACCCCCGCTGTCCATGCAATGCTCAGGAGCCTCTGCCAACACCACATTCCCCCAACGATGCTGCAGCAAATGTTGAGCAGACCATGTCCAGATAATGTAGGAATTCCGTGATTCAGATAAAGGAGAGGGGTTAATGGCAGGACTGGATGGATCTGCGTGCTCTCCAGGATTGGGCATTTCTCCCTCCCGTAAAGGCTGCACCAGGCATCAGATGTTGAGGAGCCTGGGCAGGGGGAACTCTTGCACCCATCCTGCTTGAGGGACCCAGTGGGAAGCTGGTTTGCCACGGTGTGAGTGCAATGCTGGACTGGGTAGACCCTTGATCTGATCCAACGTGGCTTTTCCCGTGTTCTGAAAACATGACCATGACAACATGACCCTGTTGCAGCATTCGCTTCGGTAAGATGAAAGCACATGGAAAGGGAGCAGAATGGAGCCTGGTTCTGCAGCAGCTGCCCAGGTGTGAGGTGCCCACATAGGTGTCCATGTTCAGAGGGGTCTTTCTGTGTGGTTGGCATCTCTGGAAATACAGGGTGTCATTCACACAAAGAGCTGTGCACCCATTGTGCAGTGCTCTTGGGATAATGAACGCACATGGGCTGGGATAATGAACGCTGTTGCAATGCTACTAAGCACCACCGCATCCACAGTGTTCAAATGTCCTAAGAGGGCCTGTGACCTCTTAGTCACTGGCTACATGCAAGATCAGCCCTGGGGCTTCTGGGCCACATACCGTCTACTGGCCTCCCCTTTTGCACTGGTAGGCCATCTCAGGCCCCTTTGGCAGCAGAAACAATCCAAAGGGTATCTGGGAGCTGCAGCACCGTGAGAAATTAAAACAGAGGCTCTCAAATTCGGTCATCTGGCATGGAGGGCTGGGGCAGGCATCAGTGCTGTAGGGGCAATAGGGCCCCATCTGCTGCCCTCAGATGCCTGCTGCTGGTACTGGGCCTAGGCCTGTCTCCATGCAAAAAGCATGTGCAGCCTCACAACTCCTGATCAGGTGCTATCAGATTTTGCCAGAGTTATTCATGGTTGTATCCAAGAACTGGAATTGCAGGGATTGATATCAATTGGATCCAGCTTGAAGACCAAGCTGCATTCACTTCGGACTTTCGGTTGGGTAAAAGTAAAGGTGACTAGAAGTTGTAATGTCGATTTTGTGATGCTAGTAAAAAATGAGTGCAGAAATTGTAGAACCATAGAGTAGTAGATTTGGAAGAGGCCAAAAAGGTCATGGGTCCAACCTACTGGCTCAATGCTGGACCCCAAGTTAAACCATCCCTTGCAGGTGGCTGTTCAGCTCCTCTTGAATGCCTCTAGTGTGGGAGAGCCCACAACCTCCCTAGGTAGTTGGTTCCATTGTCATACTGCTATAACAGATGGGAAGTTCTTCCTGATGTTCAGCCAGAACCTGGCTTCCAGTAACTTGAGCTGATTATTCCGTGTCCTGGGATGATGGAGAGCCTGGTCCTCCTCTATGTGGCAATCTTTCAAGTATGTGAAGAATGCTATTGAAAGAGTTGCTGTTGCCTGCAGTGCAGCGGCCACAGACACCTGCTGAATATCCTGTCTGCTCCTTAAAAATAAACAAAATGTAGACCCTGCCATATAACTTTTTCAAGCAGAGGTGCCCTGCCTAAAAGAAAATGGAAACCTGAGCAATGCAGGTTCTATCAAAGTGTACAGTTAATGCCTTTCTTTTGGCTGGGCTCCTATACCTTTTTTACAGGTGCTTGTCCAGCAGGACTTCATTGGCTTTTGCAGTAGAGAGATTAATGGGCCTTTGCATTGAGGGGTCCATTCACCCAAGCACTAGGTAATGCAATTCTGCTTCAATCGACATTTTGACCTAATGCACTACTTACAATTAATCTCCATCTTTGCTAATATAAGGACTGTCCTGTTTGTCTATAATTCTGGTCTATTGTGGTAGCTTGGGAACTTGTGTGTTTTGCCCAAGGCAATAGGCCAGTCTGGGTTGCAGCTGCCCTTTATGTTTTCAGGAATGGAGAGCAGCCATTGCTTCTTTCCCCAGGATGTATTACTAGGGGACATCTTGACATCCACTACACCCATCAGAGACTAATAATTAGTTCACACCACACTCCTATGCATATCTATGTAGAAATCTGCCCCCTGAACTCTAAGGGGTGTACTGCCAAGCAAGTGCCTCTATTTTGAGGCTGAGCCTGTATCTAAAGCTGCAGAACACGTGGCCAGGCACCTCAGCAGCTTTTCGGACCTCGTTTGTACAACTACCTCTTGCTTTTTGTACCACCTAGTCTGCTGAGATCTGGAGAACTCAAAAGCTTGTCCATTGCAGTAGTGCGTTGGTTCGCATCAAGTTATTTCTCCAACTGTGCATTTTTTATTCCTCCTGTCCCCGGGACCAGCACGGCTATCTGTTGCTTTTTTACGTGCTGTTCAGGCAACTTGAGGAAGGCTGCAAACACAGGAAAAGGGCTAAAACAGCAGCAGAACACACGTGCGCGCATCTGGGCGTTACGCTGCGCTCTGAAGGGCTGCATGGAAAGGGTTAAAAGCTCGGGCGAAGAGCCAGTTCCTCTCCAGCGCGTCGACAGCAGAAACAGCAATCGCTTCTAAAAGCCTGCTTTTCCCCCAGGCTTTCGAAGGCAAGCTAATGGCTGGAAAGCAAGGAAGACGCGCGCCAGGCGCAGGCACAGCGAGACGCGCGCCTTCCCTCCCGGCCTCCATGGGCGTTGGCTGCCTGGAAGAGCACGCGGGCCGCGCTCCTCAGAGCGGGCAGGCCGCCTCTGCGCGCGGAGGGCCGGCAGGCTCGTCTCCGGGAGGGTCGGGCGAGGCGCCCACGGCACGGCGCCGGAGCCTCGTGTTCTTCACTTTGCCTACGCTCCCTCCCGGCCCTGCTGGAGCCCACTGTCAGCAGCGTTGCCGCCAGGGCTGGGCCTTTGCGCCGAGGTCTCCCCCCCCCCCGCTCCGAGCAGCAGTCGAAGAAGCGACGTTCTACTTTATTCCTGCAATCATGAGGGCGTTCTGGTTTACCTGCACTGCAAAGGCAGAACTGCATGCGCTCAGGCTAGCCAGCCAGCCAGCCAGCCAGCCAGCCAGCCAGCCAGCCATTTATTTATTTATTTATTTATCTAGCTAGCTAGCTAGCTAGCTGTCTGTCTGTCTGTCTGTCTGTCTGTCCTTTTATGAAAACCGGGGCTGGCAAACCGTTCGATGGTGGTTCTAACAGCAGGAATGTGCGGGCAGTTGCAAAGCAGGGGATCGAAGTTGGCGGGGG